CTATAGATTTTCAAAGAACGAAAAAATGCTATTTAAATATATGAACACAAATCTCTCATTTTATATTATGTTCTTAATACTTTGAAACTTTGAAATAATTTAAATTAAGTATTAGTATTTGTATAATGGATTTATGGTTAAGGTTTGAATTTGTTTTCAACTATAGGTAAATTAAATCAAATTTAAATTTAAAAAAAATTTAAATGGTTATTACGTAATAATGAAAAAAATAACAAATGCGTAGTAGTAGATAAATAATTTATTTATGTATACATACTTATAGTATTTTTGAGTGTGTGTAGGTACAATACATTTTGAGTCTGCATTTTATATCTTCTTAATATAATATTTGTATAAATTAAAATATAATAGTATAGTACTTTACTTTATAATCTTTTATGAAATCTAGAAAACTGAAAATTATCTTCTACCTTGGTATTATAAAAATGGCGAGTATGTATCCGGAACACCGATTGTAACAATATCTTAATACGTACAAGTACCTATATTATTACATTAACTCGGAGGTAGGTAATAAATTTGTATGTTATGTTTTCTCTGTGGTTCTACAAAGAATGCAGAAAATTAAATAGCCCGACATATTTAGGTATAGTAACGCTATTGATTTCTATAAACAAACGTGCAAATTGTACAGTGTACCTATAATATTATTATAACAGGCGCGATATGAAATATTTTCACTCAAGTGTAAAATTACTTTACTAATTATATTGTTATTAAATACCTGATAGTATAAAATAAGTGTAATAATTCGCATCGTGCGTGATATTGGTACGCATAATATAATAGTCAAAATGTATCCGAAATAGCCAATTTTTTCACAGTTTCATGTTACAAAGACATATTGCCCGTAAAATAATTATTTTTTCAAAAATTTACTCGAATTCTATTTTTTTAGAACCATATATTTTGATATGCCACATTATCGTAAATTTGTTCATCGTCGGAAGTAGAAACCACTATCGACTATAGATTTTCAAATATCAATTAGTATTAAAAATTGCATAAATAAACGAAGTTTAAGACTAAATACATTTTGGCATTGATATAATTTTTAATTTCCATCAACCCGTTAACGAGGTATTCAAATTTTAGACGTAGCTAGGAGAAGAATTTGATTGGAGTACTATTTAAACACCATACGCTGCCACAAAAATGATACACCAATACTCGCCCCCCCCCTAATTAAACATAAAAATGAAATACCTCGACTACGGTTTAAGGAAATTAAAAATGTCCCCGCCAAAATGTATTCAAACCATAACTTTATCTATTTGCGGAATTCATAGGTGGAAAATAAAAAGTGGATAGTGGTTTCTCCATTTATAAATAAGTGTAAACAAAATATGGATAATGTAACATTACGAAATATATAATAGTCTTATTTTAAAAAAAATTATAATTATTTAATGAGCAATTCGAATGTAAATAATATTTTGTAATTTGAAAGACTTTTTATAATTTATAATAATACACTGTTTTATTTGCAGACTTATAAATTGTAGATATAGCTAATCGAATAACGTGTAATAGATAGTCCGCCACGCGTGGAAACATTTTTAGTAGGTGTATCGTCATAATAACCACACGTATGGTAGGTAAGAGTCTATATCAGTTCTGGTTGTTTATCACCGACGGTAACCTTGAGTTTTTAAAGATCAGTTGTAATGAACAACGGATGGTTTGTATAATATATAATGCATAATATTCTTTACGGTTTTATATTTTATAATTGAAAGTCTCGAACATTATATTATAGGTAATACTGTAAATCAAAACGAAAGTATAAGGTGCATTTGAAAATATTATTGTTATGTTTTAAAAATAATAACACATTATTTTATAACATCGTTTCTCGTCCGACAGCACTTGTGTACACGTTTTGCCCATTATCACCAGCCGTGACATATAGTTCAAATTCCTTATATGATAGTGTCGTGATGCAATCTTATCTGAACTAGTGCAACAACACAGATACAGTCGATTGTGATAGAGTGATGGGGTAGATTATATTTGAATAAGTAAGGTCTATACACAGTCTAGTACACAACCGTCGTTATCGTTGTTATGTGAATAGCAAAAATCACGTCGAATAAGTTACATTTTAAATTAAATAAGTCGATAGGTAACCTTGTTTATCATACTTAGTTCAAATTTTAATAATCAGTACTTGTCTTTTTTTTGTGTTTATGTTTCTTATCATCCCGGGGGTTCTGTCATATGCCTGGCCATTAATATAGGTACCACGAATTTGTTTAAATTCTGATAACAATAAAAAGATAACGACAGTAAGGTACTTTACTCCGCTGCGTATCTATTATATTTTATATAAGTATGTAATCAATGCTTTGCTACTTAATATATGTTATCAAATAAAAGTTATATGACGTTTAATAACGTGAAATAATCATTAAAAATATTAATAATGGATTTGTCACCATTAACGTTTACCACTTTTGTTGTATTTTATTCATGTAGGCACTTGCGAATTGAATTCAAAAATTCTATAAACGAACATTAACCAAAATATCCGCATACGATCATTTACAATTTTTACGGTCGTTCCGAAGCATAAAAACACACTTTTTCCAAATTTATTTTGAAAAAAGAAAGACATTAAGACTTACGAGAAAAATATAATATTATTATAATGCACGTTTCTAATAGTTTTAGTGATTTGTTTCATATTGTTTTTACCGAGCGAGAATACTAAACAATTGGTTTTCGTTTTCGTTTTATTTTTATTTTTAGACAATACCGCGATAGTCAGTGCAAAGCCAAAACCGAGTGTTGTGCGCGTACAAGGGGAAAACGAAAATATTATACGCCTTAGCGTTTTAGAATATTTGGCTCGGTTTTCGAATTTAACCTCACTGCCCTATTATACGGCCCCCTTTTTATTATTTTATATGCATAGATACCGTTGCGATGCTGATGCGGGGCCCTTCAATAAAATAAAAATAATATAATAAAGGCAAGTAATATAATATTATGGTGCCAAGTACTCGAGTTTAATATTAATAATATGCGTATTTATTATGTTAAATTCCGCATATTTTAATTTTTACTATCGTCTATGCCGAGCAAAAATCATGCATTTCATAACCAGTAAGTCGGAATCATCTAGATAAAATTATCTAAATGATATAATATCTATTGACATTTTTCGATCGAAATTCGATTTTGGCCAGATTTTTTATTCGATTCAGAATCTATTTAATGTATAGAATTAATACATTTTCAAACTAAAAATTTAATCAAATAAAATCCGTCAAATTCATTTTGTGAAATTTAGTCTAAAAGAGAATAAATGGTTTTAAAAAAAAATTACAACATTTCTTGAATTGGTGAAAAGTTTGCGAAAAGCGAGGATAATATTATTTTCTCTGCGTTTCGTTACGAGAGAACTCCGGCGAATTACTAAATTTCATATTGTTGAAAATCGTTGTGTCGTAAATTTTGCACAGTTTTTTTTTTCTTCCAAAATTTATCGCCACAGATTTTAAAACTTCCGAGAAAAACAAATATTAATACAACACAACATATATGTAGAGTTTACAGATCAAAATTCCTATTTCAAAATGGATACAATATATTATATGACGAAAAGGTCGTACCACTTTTACCAACTAAAATTCTGACACCTTTACATAAACGTACATCTCATTCCCATTGGATTTTTCAATTTCAGAAATTTTAAAAGCCCATTTATTAACATTTTTAAATTGAACAAACACGGAAATTTCGTAATTTCAACAAAATATACCTACCCATTTTCTTATTCTCGGTTTATAACGGGTTAAATAAAGTTTAATATTCAGACAAATATTCATAAAGATTAAACAAAATGTGCCTCAAACAGAACTATGGATAATAATTGTTTCATTTATTTACTTATATAGATGACACTTTTAATGTACACATATGAGTATTATCGAAAAGTAAAACAAAAATATGTTTTTATTGAATATCTAAATAAAAGATAAAAGGTATCAAAAAAATAATGTTTTACCCATAGTGGGAAATGTCGAGTTTAGAGTTTAAATTCGAATTTTGGTTGCTAGTGGTTCGCAACTATTGGAATTACAGAATTTTTTTTTTCCTGGGAACAACTGTTATTAATGACTAAAATTAAATCTTATTTATTTTTTATTAGAGAAATTTGAATTTTCTGTATAAATACCTGTAATAATATTTTAAATATTTGTTATGTTTATTTATGTATAGATTATATTTGTTTTATATTATATTTCTGTTTAGATCAGTTTTAACTGTTTACGTCTCGACACTATAGGTGACTAGCTAGGTATGTTTATTGTATGTATCGATTTCGCGACGATTTCAGTCAAACGTGCTAAAAACGCTAAGAACCGAAAAAAAAAATCCTCGTGACACTTTAATTTTTTTTTTGTTTAGTATAAAGTTTCGCCGTTTCCGTTCCTTTTTTCCGTCTCGTTACCGAAATGTAATCACTTTTCTTACACAACAACAACGATAATAACGGTATAGTCGTTCTTCCGGCCAATGTGACTATATAGATTCATTTATGTGTCCGTGTGCCGGTGCCGTAAAATCCTGCAGTAATTACACAAGTTTATCCTTCTCTTCTGCAGTCGGGGACCGTGATTATAATGTAATAATAATAAGCGAAGAAAGTTTAAAACACGTATATTATTCCCGTTGCACATCGCCACCCAAAGAAAGGCTACTTGATGACAAAAATAATGTTCGATTAAAAAACCATTTTGTAACTCATAAACAGTCTAACCAAAGCAACAAAAAAAAAAAAATAAATATACTTTTGTCGTCCTGTGTAACGACGGACAAACCGGCAAAACAAGACATCCATTTTCAAAATCAGCTTAGTTACTGATTTTTTTTTTTTTGGAACATTTACACAAACTGAAAATTCGGTTATGACTTTACGCTACGAATTTTGTATCAACATACTAAATTATAGTTTTGCAATGCATATATAGATAATATATAATATATATAATGTATATAGAAGTACTTTACAGCAAATATCGTTTCACGAGTAGTACAGATTTAAAATTTTAATAAAACTCGTTTTTGAACAACCCAAAAATTTAAAAAATTATTATATACAACTTTGTTTTGAAAACATATTCTCCATTTTGAAGTACGAAAAAAATCATATGACGGGTGATTTTAAAACCAATCGAAATCATTCTAATACACGGTTATACCCTATACCGGGTAGAGGTTTGGAATATGAACTAAAACATTTTCTATACCGTTTTATACTGAAATGTGGCCCCAGAGTACCTGTTTTGAATATTGTCGGTTACCTATACTTTATAGAGCGTAAAGTAGTCTACTTAAAGTAGACGTCTTATATAGTATATTTTATTGAGAAATTTCCCACTTTCTAAAAATTATTATAGAATATTTGAATCTGTCTATGTTTTCCGATGAAACCCGATTATAATAAATTGTCTTAAATCGATTAGATAATAAATTACGATTAATTATTTCAGAAAAAGTTAAGATGAGTTTTCCATTCAAGAGTTTCTGCAAAATTCCGCGTTTAAAGATATTATTATTATATCCACAGAGAGATTATTCATCCTGAATGGACAAAATATTTTTTAAGATTTACAGGACAACTACGTAATATATTTAATTTCTATCAACGTATATTTATATAGAAAAAAAAAAATAAAGAATATTTTAATTACTATAAAGTTTATAGTATTTTACTTTCGGGATGAAAAAAAGGAAAGAAAAGTTTAAATGAAAAATCGTCGTAGAACGATTTCAGACAAATGATTTTGCGTTTTTCTGACCCGATAATAATATAACGCGACAAAAATATGTTTAAATTAATTTTAACAACTTACACAAAATCCTCTTTAAACTAATCGTCAACCAAATGGTTTTTATATTTCATTATATAACGTTTCGCGACTCGTATATAATAATACGAATGTGTACTTTATATTGTTTTAATTTTATTTTACCTCATTGTAAGACACGTTTTCTTTATCAGTTTATTGTAAGAACTGTATATTAAAATCGAGCATGCTTCACATTACGAGTCTGGGTAGGCTACTGTTAATGGTGGGGAGTTGGAAGAGCATTTGATCAATAAAAAACTTTTGACAAATTGCCAGACCTTGACAAAAAACCAATTCGAAAAAAATTTGTAAAGACCTGAAGTTTGGACAGAATACTCGTGTTCACCTTTTATAAACGTCGAACAATGTTCGCAATATTGTAGCCATTTTTGAGCTATTTATAGTCATTTTAAATGTACGTGTTATCTGTAACTTTTGATGGGTAGGTACCAACTCTGCGGATAAAATTATTAAACTAAACAGAAATGCAAAACAATTAAACAGGAGGTTCATTATAAATCGTAATTTGTGATCATTAAAAAAAAAGATTGAGGATAATGTAAATTTTTTTTTTCATAAGAATTTTAATATTAAAGTTTATCGAAAATAGTTTTAGTAAAAAATTATGTAGGAGTGAGTATTGGACTGTTTTATTGATGAAAAACAGCCCAAATAGGTATAATATTAAACAATAATTATTAAAGAAAATGTATAACACGTATAATGTAATAATTTTACCGTAATATATATTGTTGAAAAAGCAATACTATCAACTGAACTCCGCTCGGAATCGTTTTTCGCAAACAATGATTAATCGTCACGTATAGATGCCCATAAAATTTCCTCTCTTCCTTCCCAACTCTTCACCTACAACAGTGACCCACCGATCGCACGAAATATGTCTGTCTTTTGCCAATATACGGTTTATAACTATTCAACAAGCTGTTCGATAATTCATCTATTTTTCGAGAAGATGTATCAAAAATGTGGTTTTTTTTTCTATAGGATGTTATAATTAAATTAAAACCTACAGCTTGTCATATTAATAACATAAATATCGCACGTGCGTATAGTGTACACAATATATACGGTAAAATGTGTTGTTTTTTTTTTCTTTTAACACCCCACTCGGTTAAATCGGATAATAATAATATTGTTTTATCTTTGAAATAATATACGGTCGCGCGAGGAGGTTAGGTTTGTTTTAATTGTCACTGTATTCGGGTAAAACCACGTGGCATGGAAAGGTCCCCGGGGGATAAGTGTTATGTTCTGTCAACCGCGATATGACCAATTTAAATTTACGTCAAGTTAAATTTACAATTACTATATTCGTGCAGGATGAACTTTCGCGAGTAATTATTATATAGTCCTATTCCGTATAACAGTATTATACTATTATAATATTTGTTTCCAAGACCGTTGGCAAATGTATTATGCTATTAGCTACATCGTATATAATTTACAGTCAGCGTTGATGATGTGAATTCGAATATTCAAAATGAAAAAATAATATTCGGCTTAATAATAATAATAATAATCGTAATAACTTTATTCCATTTAAAAAGAATACATACAATTATACAAGTAAAAATTTAATTAAATGATTGTCTCCAAAAAACCTAGACTTGGAGAAGACCTGGAGAAGACAACAGTTTATATTTTTAAGGTGAGATTATAATTTTAAAATAAATACATTAATAATCAAACTAATCAAATTACTTAATCGGCTTACTCGATTAAAACTTCTGTCCCTAGTTAGAGCAATAATAATAATAATAAAAAATTGCTCAGAAATCCAAAAAATGGTTTACTTACTGGGCAAGTAAAAAAAAGAAAAGCTAACCAAAAAGAATACTACGAAAATACACGCATAACTGGCTTTCATATAAAATCTAAGTTTTGTTTTTTTTGTAGATTAGGTAATCAGTAATCGAATGATCGCAGAAATCTATACGTTTTTCACCGAATATACTATTCTTATGTGTTAGAATTGTCTACATAAATGTGGTACAAAATCTAAATTATTCCAGCTCTTTATGAATCATTATATTTTTATCAGCCAGATAGTAGGTTGGCATTTGAAATGCTCGTGGTTTTTTTACGCAGATAATATATTTTTTTCGTATGTTAAACTAATGTATAAGTCGATATACATTTTAATTAAGGCAAATAACAACCGGTTTTAGCGTATTACAATAATAATAGGCTTTTCCAGTTAAAAACCGGGAACCTAACCTTGGAAGTGTGTTATATATATATATATTAAAAACACATTTAAAATACATAATTTAATTTTTGCGAACTCAGAAATCACTTTTTTTTTTTTTTTATTTTCGAGTCATAAGGCATTATGCTACTATTCTTGTGCGAATAAATGAAAATTTAAAACGCATTAAGACGACACAGATTTCTCTATATTGTTCGTTGAAGTGTATAAATACAGTAAGCATAATAGGTCAACAGTTAAAAGGACAATCGTTTTCGCGATAAATAACATATTTTTAATTCGAACAATAATTATTGTTCTCGTGAGCGCTGCAGAGAAATTAATCATTTCAAAATCAAATTGTATTATTATTGTTGTCATTCGGCGTCATAATTCGAACGCAGTAACTACTCAATTGCACTTTTATATTGTCCGAATTGTTTTTTAAATCCGTTTATTGAGCCATATTCGTTTGGGAAAAGAAAATGCTTTATCTAAATACTCACGAGCCACCGTACCGGATTTTAAGTATACAAGTATAACGAAATCAAGTTTAGAATTATCGGTCGTTGTAATATTAATTTTATACGGAAAAATAAAATACAAATTGATGCTTATCGCCAATTTTGCGATACAAGAAGGCCGATTTATTTTTTAATATTATATAAATACATATATTATGTACCGTTAAAAAAACAAATGCGTTTCTCTTATCTTTATTGTAACACTCAATTATTTTTTTCTCCCTAAATATTTCCTACTTTTACAATCATTCACTAACGCATTTTAAAAGTTATTGCATTAAAACAAGATTTGTATAACTACGGAATATTTAAAATCGTAAAATTACGGATATTCTTGTGCTTTAAAAATTGAATTAGGAAAAAATTAATTTGTTTTCTATTGTATTCGGTTTTAAAAACTTCTTGGGTAGGCAGAAGATATCTATCAAATTCAATCAATTTTCATTGGATTTTTTTGAAAAAAAATAGATATAATTTTAATCCATTTTTTCAATAATAATACAAGTTTGAATCACTTTTTTTTCATTTAAAAATGTATAAACAGTTATCGGTATACCTACGAATGATAACCGTCATATATTTATACTCTTATAATTTGAATAATGGCATACAAAACATGTGTCACTCGCCTCCTGCATACATCGCATATCTACTACAATACTATTTTTGAATGAGAATGTTCCAGCTACTTTTTTTTTTATACTTACCGTTCTCAAATATTAATGTCAACAAAATCAATACAAATTAAAAATAGAACAAACCTTTATTATACTTTTAGGTAGACCCCTCATATCTGATTATTTATGAATTATAAGCACGTTTAAAACAAAATATCTACACTCAATCGACCATACTGACCATCGAATACTTCACGGTCGAACGAATGATTTTTGTACACGTTAAGGGGCCTCGATTTGAAAAGATCAAGACTAGGAGCCTAGAGCCATCATCATTCATTTCATCGTATAGAGTGTAAAAGCAACAAGAAAATAATAATACACAAAATAATGCTATCGATGTTTACACAATTATTAAAAACACTAAAATAGAAAAGAACAATTTTTTTTTTATAAAAAAAACAAGAATCAAAATTTTTATTCAATTTTATTTTGTACAATCTTAATAATGTGTGTTATAATTTTAAACGCATAATCGGACAATCAACCATTATGACCCACTTATTCTTTTGTGGATCACATGATTCAAATATACTGCGCCGAGCTGCCATTGGCCACAGTTCATCAATGTTGTTTCGATGTCTTTTTCATAACACCACCACTACCACTCTTGGACTTCAGGATGTACGCGTTGTAAAAGAACTCGGCGAACAACACAAAGAAACTGAAGTACATGACAAATGACAAAAAGATGTTCAGCATGGACACCTGGCATGACTCCGAGCCACCAGACTTCAAGTAACCGTACGTGATGTAGTTAATATAGCACCCGACAACCATCTGCGTCAACTGGCTGGCCGTGATAAATATGGACACTAGGATGGGTGGCCTGTAGCCTATTGCCCGGACTGCATAGTATGTGTACATCATCGTGTGCACTAAGTAGTTCATGACGATGAACCATCGAACAGTTGACGTTTGTTCGTAGTATGAGAACCACGAGTACAGAAGTACGGTGATGTGATGGTACCAGTGGAGAAATAACAGAGGTTGTTTGCGGAGTACAATAAAAATGGTGTCACCCAGTTCGAGCACTTTGGACAGCATGAAAACCCAGGACCAGAAACCGGATACCTGATCGTCCTCGAAGTTGCTGAAAACAGACGATAGAAAGAACGTAAAACTATTATTATATGGAATACTAAACAAATTTAAACGGTTGTATAAGAAGACTTACAGCACGTGGTTGCAATAGCATTGGGTGACAAGAAGAAAGGCAAATAAAACACAGCTCCAACAAAATTTTTGTAAAATTTACAAAAGTACCAGTTAAAGGAAACTATAAAAATAATACATATTCATTTTACGAAAGGCACCCCCAAACAACCTATTCCGTCCTTTATAATTTTAGAAAACTCGTATGCTATCGTATTGTACAACCGGTTTAAACCATGTTTTTACTTCACCCGTATTTATTAGTTTCGGAGATCAGCGTAGGTTCATATAATATTTTTCTATTTTCCGTTTAAATTAATTTAATCTCATCATATCGTGTTGAGGTGCGTGTTCTTGACCATTTACTAAATGATAACTAAATGTAGGCAAGCTATGATAATAACAATACAACTATGTGAAATTTTGAAATATTTCGGTTACATGTATCCTGTAATTAATTTCTTTAATATCCTCAGAAAATTGTTTCGTGTATTTTGTTATTTGCATTATATAATCAATATTAATATGAAGCATTTGATTTATTTATCCACGGTACAATACCCATTGTTAACTACGGCTTGGTTTTTTGGTTTCAAATATATCATACTATTTACGTATATCAAGTATTTCATGTATCAAATATTTCATGTATTAATGAGTGCATTTACATTTTCGTTTATGTACTCAACTTAACTAAAAAATAATTTTAATTCATTATTTTTATATATTCCATTATTGATTTACTTTGTAATAAGAATTTTTGTTTTAAGAGTGCGTTGTTATGATTGTTGTTAGTAATTTTATACTTTTATGCATATCTGTATCAAATCGATTTCACATAATACGCACACGTTAAAACAATATACGTTTCAAAGTAAATATTGATTTAGATGTGACGCTATTCCAACATAATTTTTGTGTGTAAAACATTATTTCATTAGCAATTAAATTATGCCAATTACTAAAAATTAATGTTTAAAACTTCAAAAAGATGCACATATTCTGCGCGTTGAGTGGTCCGCTGTTATAAATTAGAAGTTGGAAAGGAAGGGAAATTTAATTTATATGTGTACCCAACGATAAACCATTCCTAATGAAAAATGATTTGGAGCAAATTTTCTCTTATATATGTACATGTATTTTCTGTTTTTCATAAGCTTTTCCAAATTTTTATGAAAATCGCCTGGAAAATCAAAAAAATGATCTCTTTAAAGTACCAACAAGATAAAAATTCATTCCAGAAAAGGGGCTACACATAATACAACAAAGCAAGATTTGTGGTAGAAAAGTTGCCCAATGATAGAAAAAAAAAAAAATAAACATCATTGTAAAACCAATACATTCTTCGCTGCGCTCCGAATCTAAAATATGAATGTTAAATGAATGTAATTGTCCATAATAAATGTCTATTTCATACCATTGAATTTATAGTTAATAATTTTACTCTATGTAAACTTAGTATTATTATAACATTTAACATTGTCTTTAATTTGAACTCATGTAAAACTCTCTGTCACAAACTATGCATATTACAAATTACAAATTAATCATAAATTGTTTTATTTGTATTAATTATCTATTCGTATGTATTTAAATCGATTTGTTAAATAAACATTATTATTGTTACATCCGATTTTCATAAAATAAAGGGCGGGGGTTAACTGTCAGATGGGACGCGTAGCGAGTAGAAGAACGAAACTTGTAGGTGGATTTACCTTATGGAACACACCGAATGGTGTAGACCATGTTTGTTAAGCACACGAAAAAGTTCAGGCGCCGTTCGGGAGAGCCCGACCAAACTGAATGTGGCTAACATTATGTTCCAAAGAATCAGTGGTCCCTTGAGCTGGAATCTGGTATATTTGCGCATCAGCCGTTGGATGCCGAACACCAGAATTACGTATATGATGCAAAAATACAAGCTGCAAGTCCAGTTGGTGATCAACCATTGTCGAGTCGAAAAGTAATCGTAATTTTCCTCGAAATCGAACATATACGAATAGTTGGACGGTTCGGATGGCCTCAATACGTGAACCATTTTGGCTGCCGGGAAATATAAAATTTTTTGAAAAAAACCGTAATTTTAAAAGCACGCCCGGAATAAAAAAACGATTACTTGGGCACACCGCCGGGTCGCCGGCAAACGGTTTTTTTGCGGCGTGTGGTGAGCACGCACTGGCAGAAAACCGTATAATAATAATACAACGAATAAAAAATTAGTAAATAATATTATTTTAAAAATTCGATTTTGAATATTAGAATATTATGTATAAATAACAGTACGATGTACACAGGATATCGCGAAACGAAGACGACGGAGGAACTGACGCGCCGTTGCGTGTGCGAGCCAATGTCAGTCTGGCTCCTTGGGACCACCAAGTTGTACTCAAGTCGTTATTCGGTTTGTTTCCAAAACAGACAACCTTGATATTATGACGTGTGAAGACAACACTTCTACTTTTGTTATTTTCGATAAAAATATTGAAATATAAAAGACTATAAGATTGGATAACACAAAATAACATAATGTTAGGGTCAGGTTATGTTGGGCGAACGAGACCATGGTCCCCGGTCGTGTTGTATCCAGTGCCCCTCGGGTCCCACGATTCATAAAATATTATCAAATAACTACTGACCGCCTTTTGAGCATAGATTAAATACCTATATTTAGTATTGTTTAGAATTTAGTTGACTATTGTAGACTGCGTAAAAAAATATATAAAAATAATTTATTATTAATAATTGTGAGAACGAATAATTTTGCAAAAAATACCGGAAACTTAAGAAATTTCGCCGTTTACCATTTTCGTAAATTAATATATTTATAAAAGGACTGATACAGTTAAAAACTATTTTAGATCGAAGAACCAGAAAAATTATAGAAATCACGTTTGATGGATTTCAATTGAAACACTCGTTACGATTCAATAAGTTCTTTACTAAGACCCGTCGGCATTTTCTTTTTAAATTTTAATTCTGTTCAACGGAGAAAAAATGCAAAAATACTTAGTGTTAATGTTTGACAATTTTTCAACAGAACAATCAAATCTTTTATTCGATTTTCATTGGAATAATTAATTTTATATTTTCAACACATAACTACCCTATATATTTCATGCATAATAAAGAACCTAATGAATCATAATTCGTCTAAATACACTAGGAAATATACACAAATGCCATGCAAAAGTCCAAACAATTTATTGAACGCAAAAAGGGAAAAAAAATGTCTATAATGCGAAGTACAGTATTGAGATATAGGATATCGTATGTATAGGAAACTCTCGAAAGGCGAAAAATCGCTTCGGTTTTTCCGGTGTATCGTAGGTATTAACTATTGTGTAACGACAGGCGTATGATTAATACGGGGATATTATTGAAACGAGTATAAAGGCGTGTATATACAATATTATTATTATTATATAAAAATATGACACAGTGAAGTTTCATTATACGAGTATAGCCGTGCGACAAATACTATACTTATAAAATAATATATATATATATACGTGTTATTATTGGCCGTTCGAAAAAAATATAAAAAAAATACTGTCAACACGAAAAAAAACGGTCGGGCGACCGGGACCCGTTGAGATAATAATATAATCTAATTTGAATTCCTTATCGAAGTTTTGAATACCGAGGCGAGTTCAATCGAGGTGAGAAGGACACGGCGGGTCGAATCCGCCACCGCCGCCACCGTCGCCGCCGGGTTCGCGTGGCGGCGGCGGCGGTGACGACGACGATAGTGGTGAGGACGCGAATGACGACGAGGCAAAGGGCAACCGTTGGACAACCGGCGAAAAAAAAAAAACCCGCATTTTTATTGGAGACTGAACCCACCCCCGGCACACGTATATTATCATGCGGGGGTTTTTTCGTTACCCCCTCTGCTTCTTCCGCTGTGTCCGTCCCCCCGCAACAGATATATTCTCGTTTTTTTATCGGTTTTATCCGCTCACTCGTACGGCAGCAGCAGCCACCGCAGCGTCAACCGCACGAGCAGCCTGCACCGCGGTCCCGGTGTAGTGTAATAGTGCAGCGAGTGTAATGCGGTTACCTATACGCCATTTGGCGTCGCCGCTACCGGATAAATAATCGAAATGAAATCCCACGGTATATATCCCTCTCCGTTATCAATCACGTCGTTTCGATCGTTTTCCTATTTTTTTTTTTCTGCGCTCCTCTCCTCGTATATATTATACGAATAGCTCCTATATAAATACAAACGGCGTACTACTATTTTATTTTTATTTATTTTTTGTTTTTTACGTGTATGTGTACGTACGTAGTGTGCCGTACACCCGGTGCCTTATGTTTTTAAATTTTTTTTGTTTTTTTTTTTTTTTTTTATCATTCACGGACAATCTTCTCGGTCGACCGCCTCGGCATATCCCGTTTTTCTCTTGTGGCCTATGCGGTCCACGCGATAGATCCGCGAGCGCCAGCGTCATTAGTTTTTTGAATAATATTTCCTCCGCCCTCTCGTCCGGCCGCCACTGACGTTCGCGTATAAAAATCACCCGCACAGCGTGACCACGTCCGATATAATATCGTAGTATGCAGTTATTGGGGTGAAGTAACGCGTGGAAGAATAAAATCGGAAACGGACGTACGACCCGATATCGAGATAAAACATCGGTCGCGGAAAACGCTATATCATATTGTGTCCCCGATGATATTATAATAATATTATTATTATTATTATTATTATGTCGACTCGACGTATAGTATGGGCTAGCGCACAGCGTTTTACGGCTGACGGTGCGAAAATTTCGAAAACTATCCGGGTGCTGCTTATATTTCTAAACTTTCTGTATCGATATGCATGTTGTATAATATGTATAATATTATTCACGGAACTGTGCGACCGTATCGGTATTGTAACATACTCGTATATATAATATATTATATGTGTTATAAATTTAAGTGCGTGTAATACTCGTATAGTTACATTTAGTGCAGAGATTTTGGAACACTAAACAATATATTACCCGAATACCTTATTACAGTAAAACGTAGCGTCATAAAAAATTTAAAAATCTTAAAATGATTAATGAAAAAAAAGTATAGGCATATAAGATTGATTGTTTTACACTTGATTGGTCTCAAAATAATTATCTATAGTATACGAGAACTATTATAATATAGGAGTTACATGAAAAGTAACAGGGTCGTACGTACATGATCGTCCGCCGGGGAACATAATAAGAGATGGAAACCGGACTTAGACCGACCCGGATGATAAACTAGACAACAATACACAGTGTAACTAAAGATCTTCGAATATTTGGAGTAGATATAATAAACAGGTATGTAGCCATGGGGGTCCATGGAGTTTGGACACCCCCACCTCCGAAATTAAAATTTTTCATGAAAAAATCAGGTTATTAGTACATATATTGGTATAGGTGATCATAAATTGTATGTTTGGACACCCCCCCCCCCAAAAAAAAAAAACAAAAAAAAAATTCTGGTTACGTGCTTGATGGTAGACAGGAACAAATGAAGAAATCTTAATGGATCATTGCGGGTTTTCATATACCCAAAAAGAAAAATAAGAAAAATTACCTATAGATTATATCACTAAACTCGTAAATTAGAAGAATACACGAAATAAATTAGGTCATAAAAATAATACGTGGGCTAAACAAGATCCGTTTTAAACTATAAAATACAGTATAGAATAAAAGAAGAAAAGTCTTTCAAAATCTAAACTGAATTATTATATTTGCGAGTAGAACTGAGATTTTGATGCGATTTCATATATTTATATTCTTTTAAAACCCTAGTTTTATACGGGTACACTTACGATTTCACGTATCCATTCTGAAAGTTACTTTCGTTATACTTTGCACTCGTCGACCATTTCAGATTGGAATAATAAATCAATAGTTCCCGATACGCTGGACACTACCAGTTCAATAATTCGGGCAATAATAAAAAATACACAAACAAACAATATTTATTAACGATTATAAATTACAATTATATTATTAAAATAATATAATTAACGTTGCCGAAATCAACAGTTTTTAATTTGTACGCTTTATGTTTTCTGAAAGAAAACATGTTTTAATTAAAAAACTACAAGATAACTCTTTTATTGAAATTAATATTTCAATGTTATAATTAGTGGTCAATAAAAAAAGTAGAGCATGTTAAATTTGTTTTTTTTTTTTTATAATGGTCTTTAGATCAAATTTTAACGTTAATCGTAAATATTACGATTTTTCAAATTTCGAATTTCGTCGTTCAGAATCGTGTTTATAAGCAATGCTTATAAATCGTTAGTTACAGACATAAATCAAATAACTTAATGTTTCCTATCTTCCTAATTTCCTACATTTAATAGTGGCGTTCTCATCAGCAGTATCAGCTATTTTTTTTTAAGTTTTTATACAAAATACAGACGATATAATAATGCCTATAATATGATATTCGATTGTTGAATTTGAACGATTTGAACGATAATGGAGGCAATAAACCGAAATAATTCATATTAAATCATATAATAATATTAAATTATAGTGGTGCATTTGAACTATTTACAATAGCAAGTATTATTATTAAAACGTCAAAGGATATATAGCATTATTATAGTATTATTCCGCCATTTTCCATTTACCTTCTGTCTTTCAATATTGAAATGATCAGACGGATTTAAAAATAACAGTGTAGGTGTATTGTAATACGAATATTAATCAGGTAATGGGGAGTTGAGAAGATAGGACGTATAGTTATTTATTTTATATCTATATTATGTTACGATAAATAATTGTATCGGAGTCGAGTGAATGCAGGCACGTATACAGGATTCAACCCCTCCCATCAAAACCCGAAAATTAATAGTTTTGTAATTTATTTATATAATTTTCTTTCCGGTTCACAATTAATTCGAAAACCCCGTAAGAAATCAAAAAATGCACCAGCTAGACAAAATTCTTGACGCGCATCATAGTAAAACCAATAAAAACCTCACTACGATCAGAATCAAAAAAAAAAAAATACAATCATTTACGAAAATCGTGATACGCATAATGTCATAACAACCGTGAATATGCAAGAAGTCTGGTGTGTTATATTCGCTCAGAGTTCGTTCGTATTATAATAATTGTTGAATTTGTTTTTAAGCGGTTTCTGCATGTGTTTAGGATGAGATTTTAGTTCAAACCGTTAAATCGCTGAGTTATGCGTGGGACATTAATTAATTTCAGTAGATTCTTTTTAAACAGAAAGCGGTCCGACGGACGCGCGTATTAAATCATCGTTTAAGTCGTTTACTGCATCTATTATTCGATGTCTAACAAATATAATATATGTACATACATACATATTTGTCTATGACAAGAATGAGTAAATATATATTTGGCTTGTTTTCGAGAAGAATTATTAAATTTATAATTTTAATTATATTTATATAATGTTCAAAGTATATTATGTATATTTGTTTGTGAAATTAATTTTACTTAGCATAATTACTTTCGGTACACTTTCTACGCAAATGCAACTAAACCTTTTAACGATAAACCGTTTCTGGCGGAGATGCGCTGCACGGTGGAAATATCGTAAAAGTTAACGTCGATGGGTTTATCATACAATTTACAATGATTAAATCCACTGAGATCTAAATCACTGAAATTGAATATTAAAAATATGTTTAAGATTTTAAGGCTGGTAATGTAATATAATAATAATCTGCTCGTTCCTATTTGCGTGTTATGCGTGTTATCGTAAATTTTTTTATAATCGGAGCGTAGCGACGGATATATTGGTTTTATTATGTGTGTGTGTGTGTTTTTTTTTCTGTTTATGAACACATTTTCTGCCAAAAATGTTTCTCCAATCGAAAAACGACAAATTTCTCACAGCCAATGACAATGAAAATCGTTTTTTGATGTATTTTTTCATAATAACTCTGAAAAACCAAAAAAAAAAAAAAAATGTACGAATTTTTTCAAATTACGGCATAACGATTTTATAATTTTAGATTTGTACAGTTTCTGTTTTCTACCATAAATATTACTCCAATAGATAAACGGCAAGAGACCTTCTCTTTTTAGTTTTTAATGTTGTTGGTGACTAAGAAAGTCAATTTTTGATTTCCTTTGTATTTTTTTTAATAACCGAGTACAACATAAATAAAAAAACAATATAAAACTAACCGAAAATTTTACGAAAATATTGCTTTATTATTTTAAATTTTGTTTTTTCATTGTAATTTAAGTTTAAATATTTGTTGAGATTTAAAATGATTACAAGAAACTTATTTTTAATTTTTTTAGACGTAAAACTTTCAGAACATTTGTGTTATTTTCGAGCTATTTATAATCATTTTAATTTTGCTTGGTTTTACGTAATGTTTTTTGGTAGGTAGACAAGGTACTTTACAGATATATTGTTAAACTTAACCGAAATGCGTAAAAATTTGACAGAAGGTTCATAATAATTCGTGTTTAGTAGTGAAGAAAAAAAAAATTAGTTTAATGTAGTATTTTTTAAATTTTGTTTTTTATAGAGTTTTTAAGTCAAATTTTGACAAAAATCGTAAATATTACAGTCTATCAAAACATGATGTATAACATCACTTCTCAACAAATCGTTTTTCGTTATCAATGGTTTATCGTTGTTATAGGTATAAATTAAATAACTTTATGTATCTCACCTTCCTCACTACCCACTTTCAACTGTGGCCGCACTCATCCCCAATATGGGATTTTTTTTCATTAAGTATTCTTAAATTATACTTTTTACAAATAATAATGCTAACCTTGTATTTATAATCACATTTTTTTTAAAAAAATGGTTAAAAAATGTAAAACAACTAAATTATGTTGAAGGCTAAAACACTTTTAGGTTTAGCATGCAGTTTGAAATTGAAAATGTATAAATACAGCAATATACAGTATACAGTTGGAAAAATATTAATATTTTGTAGTAAGTTATTGTTGAAAAAACAATAAAAAAATATTAAAGATTTTAATTACCTACCTATTAATGTAAATATAATATATTACTTACATCAGTAGGAATGGGAAAAATTAAAAAGACAAACGAAAAAATTGAATTTGAGTTTAATCCCACGCTAATGATTTATGAGTCAACTTACATGTTTTTTTTTTTTTTTAATAGATGATTAAGTACGTGTGTGAAGTACGTTCATTGAGCTCGTACACATTATTTTTTAAACATTACATATTACATACCCATGCGTATACAGAATATTACGTAAAACATAAAAAAAATAGTAACTGAAGCATTAAAAAAATAATAATAGACACATAACTTGTTAAAAATCACATAACAATGCATTGAATTGAGGGGGAGGGGAGGGGAAGTTGAAGGGGAGCATTTGAATGTAGAATAACTTTTATAATAAAACACTTTTTCGTAACCAGTATCGTTTTTTAATAGCCACACCTCGTATATCTTCGTGGCATAGCACGTATTTGAGTCTACTAGAAAACAGTTAACGAATTAAATAATATTAACTCAATTATGTGTAATGTTATAAACTATTCGACTAAGTGTAGATGAGTTAACACGCGTTAATTGTGGTTTTATTTAGGTATATATTTAGTAATATATTATGCGGATTCAAAGTAAATTATCTGAGCTCTCGAGTCGTTGATAACTTAATAAATTAAATAAATTAAAATCTTAATATATTCTCTAAGGTAATGAGTATCATCTGTATAATTGTGATTATTGTACGGGTGTAAAACCTATGGATAGTTAATACAATCGACAAAGCTAGAAACAATTTTAAGTTTGGGATTAGACCATAATATGCTCGAGATTTCGCGGTGTAAAAAAGTGTAACGGTCAAAAAAGTTTTAAGAAGAATAAAATTATGGAGAAAAAGACAACTTTGGCAAACCATACCAAACTAAATGAGATAATAATACGCGTATTATAAGTCACATACTACCCCACGGTAGTCTACAACGAAGTTGATTATTATAAAAAAAGGTTACGTGTTCAGAATAATGTACTTATACCTACATGCAAATGGGAAGAGGAAGATCGAGGAGGAAATATACATACATAATGCAGAGCGCAGGAAGAAAAAGTTATCAAGGTTGAACGATCTTTTTAGTTTCGACTGACGTATGCGTATTTTGTTATGATTGTAAAAATAACTCTTTCGAATTTACGTCACGGAGTAGAGTTGTATGTACTGAGCAATTAGATATACTCATTTCATGCATGTGCAATAATTATTAATATATTTTTTTAACAAACATATAAGTCTGAAGATAGCCGATGCAGATACTAACAATAATTTAATACTGGCGAAATCATCGAAGCGTGTTTTATGATAATCTTATCATCGTGTGTATAAATTAAACATTACCTAAATAATTAACGAATATTATTATAATACGAATTAATCAAATCAGAAAAAATTGTGTAGGAAATATAATAATTACGGTTAGGAATATAATATTACGAGGTCTGGCTATTAAACAACGAGACTGCTTATGAAAAATGGTTTTATTTTAAAAATTATTCCACAACCAAATGTTCCCCTTCAATATACTCTCCTCCCCTATTCACACACCGTTTCAATCGTTTCTTCCATTGCTCGAGGCAGTGCTGGAAGTCTGTTTTCATAAGACCATTCTGGAGTTCCGCCAATTTTGGTTTCATCTCTTCCATCGACTCAAACCGGATTCCTTTTAAGGCAGACTTTATCTTCGGAAACAAGTAAAAGTCGCAGGGTGCCAAGTCGGGTGAGCAAGACGCGTTTTCGAGTACTGAAGTGCCTTAAGCGGCCAAATAACGCTTCACAGACAGCGCGTTATGGGCAGGTGCGTTATCCTGGTATAAGATCCACGACTTGTTTTTCCACAATATCGACCGTTTCTTACGAAACCATTCGCGCAATGTTGCCAAAACTGTCAAATAGTAATGTTGGTTCACAGTTTGACCCTCTGGAACCCATTCAGTCATCACGATGCCGTTGATATCGAAGAAAACGGTTTTGAATTTGGATTACGANTAATTTATGCCACTTAAAAACACGCGCTCGAGTTAGGAAATCCTCACTATAGGCCTCTTTTAACAACTTATAGCACTCAGTTGGGTTTTTTTTTAGTTTAACGAGAAAATTTTACGTTTATCCGTTGCTCATGTTTTTCGTCACACATGGTTTTCAGCACGAGAAAAAAACACGTTCGTTTCAAACCACTACTGCACAAATACTACAATAGTGACGAAAATGTGTTTTGGTACGTACATAGATAAGATATCTAGATACCCAACGCATTACTCGTTTTTATCACTACCCATCTAGAGCGTCCTCTAGGCGAGCAGTCTCGTTATTTAATAGTCACACCTTGTACACGTCTCAATACCTCCAAAAATAATAAAGATACTCAAATTATGTATTTTTTTTTTTTTATTACTCGCAGAGGTAAGGACTACAAATTTTTTTACTCCAATTAAATTTGTATAGGAATTTTGGTAAATAAACTAAAAAAAGTAATTTTTATTTTATTATTTTTAAAAATGTAAAGATAGTAAATTTGTAGAGTTAATTCTTTGAAAATGTTGACGTTTTAAATTTTCATTTTCATTAAACTCGTAATAATGTAAGGACATTTTATCTGGGTGGTACCAGAAAAAAGAAATATAAATTAATAAATTACCTCCTTCCATTAAGGAGGTAATTTTTTTAAATAGTAATTGAGAAAACCCAAAATACAAAAAATAAATTTAAATATGAATATTTGTAATTCTTATTCATGTAAGTAATTAAAAAAAAAAAAAAACCTCATTTGATTAGCTTTATGTTATTTCCGGAGATATGACAATCGTATATGTTATTGGGACACTCTATATAGGCCGTGCACAAACTCGAATTCCATTTTTCCTTTAGTAAATCGATATCGATTTGAAAAAAAAAAAAACCGTTTAACTCGGTGGTCGGCCATTTATATACTTATTTATGTATTTATTAATTTTTTTTTTTTTTGCAAAACCGCCGCCGGAGCCACCGACACGGTCAGTAAATCGTGTACGTATAATACTATATACGTGGTGTAAATGACATTTTTATGTTTGGATTTTAGAGCTTCTCTCTCACACACTCTGTCTCTCTCTCTCTTTCTCTCATACTGCAGTGTTTTGATGGAGTGGTCAGTTGACGCGGGCGGAAAAAAAAAAATTATACTCGTATTATAAAACCGTCCCGCAATATAACCGCGGTCTGCTATTCCTCTCCACCACAGTCCCTCGCTGGATTATTCGCTCTCTCCCTCTCTCTCTGCTCGCATCTAGCACGTCGTTTATTCACCACTCACCCCTGACCCCTATCCTTTCCACGAAAATATAGTAATATTTTTACACGCATCCGATCCACATTAAAACCGACGATTCCCGAGTATTATATGTACGAGTACCTATAACTACAACTACTACTACAACTACTACTACTACTACTACTACTACTACTACTACTACTATTACTACTACTACTACAACAATACAGCTACCCCTCCGTAAAATCGCCATCCACCCCCTACAACACGCCGTAAACCCTTTAACCGTGCGGTTAAAACCATCAACGCGCGCGGTGACCGGACCCCGCGAGGTCGCGGGGTACGCATTATTATTATTATTATTATTATCGCCGTTCCCTTATCTTTAGGCGGGTTTGTTTCGAATAATACTCGAGCGGTTCCCTATATTTATACATACATATATACACGTACACCCGTAAATCATGTGTGACCGACCGCCTCCGATGTCCCTGCAGGAATGTTATAACGTGTATAAATGTATGTATATAGGTATACAATAATAATATAATACACACCGCGTGTCCGTTTCGCACCGCGCGATTAATATAATAATATCGCACTGGGAATATTTTCTAGAATCGATGTCCGAGTGGCCCGTACCTAAAATATTATGTAACGAATTCCATCCGACTACACTCGTGGTGTAGAGGTGCATTATACACGCGGTCAGTGCAGATATACTACACTCCGTGAGAGTGTATTTGCTAACTATATATATATATATATATACATATAGGTATTGTATAACGTAACAGCGGAACAGTGGCGTATTTACGGGGGGAGATTAGGGAGATACACCTCTCCCCTTGAATATATTATTTACTCGACTGCCTATTTATCGATTTAAATTTCTTTACATTTTAGTCAGAGAAATCAAAAATTTCCTGTGTCGGAACATACTCATTATAGATAATACGGGCAATTTTAATTTATCAAAAAACCTGAACGTAAACATTTTATTATTTTAAATGAAATCTCTATTCGAACCACTAAAATATGAAGGAAATTAGATCAGTACCTATAAATCGTAAATCGATTAATAATAATTACTTATCTAGGTATATCTAGAATGTACGTTACTTACAAACAAATATTAGTTTAAAATTGATTCCTTAAAGCCGTCTTGGCATAATCCTAAATACGTAACTGAAGTGGAACATATTTAATATTGTCGTGTTTCTCCTCAGTGACCCGGTTAACTTTTGTTTACATATGAAGTCAATAAAATTCGGGAGATTCGCCTCTCATAAAACAAAAATAGCATTTTTTTGACAGGGCAGGGGAGTCTAACGCTTGCCTCTATATTTTCATAGATAATATTTTGATCAAACGATGCAGGAGTCTCAATCATAAATTAAAAATCAATCTAATATTGAGCCTGAGATCAATAACGACCGTGCCAAATAAGACTGATAACAGTTTTTCTTTGTTATCATAGATATTTATATAGTTGAACATTTTGAAAAATTAAACGTCCAGAGAATTCCATAATAATTAGATTTTGTTATTGTAACCTTGAATCGGTAATAAATTCCTACAAAAATAGCTGTTTCACAAAACCAAATGTTAAACACCTATATAAATTATACCACTCAAAATATAATATTTTTAAATTCGTAATAATAAATTACTCGAATAAATTAATAATAATAATTATTACTATAACAGTTTTATATATATATATATATATCAATCGAAAATACATTTGTACGATTTCATTAAGTCCATATGATTTTCAGAAAATAATTATATTAACATAAAAAGATGCCACAAAAACGTTGAAAAATACATGTACAAAAAATATTAATCAATTATAAATGTTAAATATATTTATTTTATAATAAATTTATTAAAGTTTCGTAACATCGATTCTGCTGCTGCAGTAAATCCATAGCTAATTGCCTTGGAACGATCCCACACACAATCGCCTCATCGTGAACGGCAAAAGGCCGAGAATCGCTGACGTTTGCAAGTCTATAAAGATTTTATATAAAATATAATAAAAACCTTTTTCCTGAACAGGAAATGAAATTAATTTGCGAATAAGTTTCATTAAAATTGGTTTAAAATATTAAATAATAATAAACTAAACCTAAACTAATTTTTTTTTCGAATCGGTCGGTTAGTATACGATTTGTATTATTATTATTTTTTTTTAAATATCACCTGAAGAAAAACACGCAAAAACCGATAGTTGAAAATTGATATGAAATAATCGTGATAAATAATAATTGTGATTGACGATATTCTCGTGGGATTTTAAGAAGGTAAATTTGATTTTGGATTTTTTTTTCATTCATTATTATACGATTGTTTATGATATTTATTAACAATATTTTCAAATGGTAACCCCCAATTTTACTTATTGATTTTCAAATGGTGATCTTTTCCACCATAGTTTTTAACTTTGATTTAAAAACAATATTCTTTTTAGTTATTTTGAATCTACCTATGTATAATGGTAATTAGAGACCAGGTTTATATTCTCGTATAATCCACAAAAAGGCACTTAAAAATTAAAAAAAGTAAAAATGATAGATGAGTTTAAAAGTCTCCCCGATAATGGCTTTAACATATTAAATTAAATCTTCAAACACTACAAAAATGATTTCTTTATTTTAATAAAGTTGTACCCACGTTTTATAAAAGTAAAGAATTTTTAATAATAATTTTTCTAAGTAATGTTAGAAAATTCTATTTTTAACATTTAAAAATTTATTAATTTTGTTTAAAATTCCCTTTATTAATTTTGCTTTTTAAATGCATTTTTTCGACATTTTTTTTTTGACGTTTTTTGATACTTTTTTATGAATTTTAAAAACATATGAATCTGGTCTCTAATGATAACACTATACTTTTGTATTGAATATTTATGATAAGCTACAAGTATATAACAGTTGAAAATTAGTACCAGTAGAGTAAAAAATAAATTTATAATAATATAATATATAGTATATATGTATAAATAAATGTGTTTGAAAAAAAAAATACTTTATTCAAAATGTACATTAATTGTCGTAAATAATAATTTTATATAATCTCCACTGGTTCGTGCAGATAAAACATATCACCATGTACACTAATAACACTATAACTACACTAGTACAATTATTTATTAAATATCTAAATTAGTGATTTGTCAAAAATCTCTTCTTTTATTACCTTTTGACCATAGCAAAAGTGTAGTGATATAACTATGATATGATTTTATTTTGTGTCAGAAAACAACTTTTCTACCAAAAATCACGCCTTTATCAAAAACTCTATAGGTGTATATACCTACACATTTAATCTAGTTGTTGCATTTCGGAGGCCTTTTATTGATTTTTCATAAAGTTTTCTTAATATGTGATAAAAACTGGTAATTTCTTGTGCAATTTTTGTTGATTCCCGGGTTACATACGGTAAAACTTCCAAATTTTTTTTCCAAAGTTCCTAACTCAGTTAACCTATGTAGAATTTTTATTACCACGATAATCCCGGTGTGGACACTTGCAGCAGCGGTGGGCGAGATATCGGCGCCGAAAAATTATCGACCAAAAATACGACCCATAAAATTCCGCTCGGAATCGTTTCTCATTGGCAACGGTTTATCGTTGTGCGCAGGTAAAAATTAAACTGCTTTATATTTTGCCCTTTGACAGTAGC